TTACTGAGGTGCAAGTTCTTTCCAATTTGGAAGAAATTGGACTGCTCAGAGTGCGTGTGTTGGATATACCAAACTCCTTACATTCCTCCTGTTATGTACTTGGCCAAGAAATTGAAATGATTGCGTAAGAGAATTACAAATTTTGGTGTCATGGTGCTGTGTGTATTATTGTATGCGTTTACAACGAATAAACAGCAACAAAACAGACCATTCAGAGCAAGGATGTGAGCCTGCATTTACAGTCCATTCAACCTACACCTCTGCACAGCTTTCCTCAACTATATCTGTTAACCTCTTCCTTCCCCGCCTTGTTGGTTACCAAATCTCCTCTTAAATGCATCTAATCTTTTCACTTCGATTATTTATTGAATGTTTGCCAACTTAGTGCAGACATGCAAGGGTCCTATGGCTCAACCATCTATTAGAAACATTAGCATCTGCTGCACACCTGCACATGATTTTGAATTCTATCGTAAATTTGCCTGTCGGACCAGAGCTGACATGTGACACCATCCTATGGTAGCTTCCCTGACAGTATTAGTGCAGTATTGTTCCATGTTTGTACTGTTGCAAACATTTCTAGGATAACGAGGTTAACAGTGATGTAAATCCACAAGCACTTTCATTTTGATTCATTAAAACAAATCGAAACTTTAGTACTATCCAGCTAAAAGTATTAATTAAGTAAAAGAATTAATGGAAATTTGGGTGCAGTTTGAGAGGTAGATGCATCTTTCATAAATATTAAACTTCAGTCTCATTTCTGAGCATGTCGACGTTGGGACAAGAGATTTAAATGATACATACTTAATGACTCAGTATGTTGAGTCCCCAGTTCATTTTGCAGTTTGACGACAAAATGAAGTTCAGCGTTCAACACCATGGAAACTTGAATTGTGTAGCTTTGAAAGCGCCTTCGATGGCGGACAAATAAATACCGTTCTCTGGCGTGGGATAGAAAAGTAGTGAGGTTTATTAAGATTGTCAGAAACATTAATTTGAAAATGACTCGGTTACGTATTTAGAGTTTTCTGTTCCCATATTTGTTGACAAGTGTCCACGGGAAACATTTTTAAAAAATGCTAATTAAGAATTAGAACATTCAACCCTGTAATGGAACAAATTATTTTGAATGCTGACTGAATACGTATTCAACCCAACACAGTACAGTGCTACTTTTCATCTTCTCTGAATAAGAACATTTTTAGGAATGGAAATATTTTGTGGTGACTAAAGTTTTACCGATTAGAATTCAGCTGCGTCTTTTCCGATTAAAAGGAGAAACTGATAAAGTAACGACTGTGTGCAGTATGAAATTGTCATTGTTTTGGAACAAAGACACCGTTCTGGTGGGACTGCATGTTAAAATGATGATGATATGATTTTGGAATGTGTACCAGGCTGCAATTAACTCTTTCGATCAAAGGCTGAGACCAGATGAAATTTAGCATGCTTTGTATTGATAGCGTAGCTACTTTATTTCTTTGCAGATACAGAAATTTGAATCATTGCAAAACTGTCTTAAGTAATGTTTGATTTGTCTGTTTGGGTGGTGGAGGTAATGAAGCAAGTGGCAGCTGCCCTTCAGGAGGAACCGCTCTTCATTTAAACTTTTCTCAGTAGGGAAGTAGAACGAATGTGTTCTCAGCCTCTACAGTCTAGTTTCAGCCTAGTATTAGCTATATAGTTAAGGATGTGTGATTAGTTTTCAACAGGTACTACTCATAGCTCTGTATAGGACAAATGATGTAACTCTCAAATATACAGAAAAGTACATAATCTGAAGTTATTCATGAATGAAGTGAAACATTAATTTGAAACTAAAATGACCTCTTTTTTATTAGCTTGACAAATCTGGAACTAAATCTACTGATGACCATGAAATCATTGTCAATTGTCAGAAAAAAACCCATCTGGCTCACTAATATCTTGTAGGGAAGGAAATCTGCCATCCTAACCTGGTCTAGCTTACAGGTGACTCCAGACCCACCGCAATGTGACTGACTCAACTGTCCTGTGAAATGGCCTGGCAAGCCGCTCAGGTTGTATCAATCACTACAAAGTCTCAAAGAAAAGAAACCAGATGGACCACCTAGCATCGATCGAGGCATCAGAAAAGACACTGACAGAAACAGCCCTGTCTACCCTGCAAAGTATTCCAACTAATATCTGGGGGCTAGCGCCAAAATTGGGAGAACTGTCTCTCGGACTAGTCAAGCAACAGTCTGCCATTTGCTTGTGACGTACACTGTCCCAGACACCACAATCACCATCCCTGGATATGTCCTGTCCCAACGGAAGGACAGATGTGGCGGCGCAGTGGTAAACAGTTGTGAGGGAGTTGCCCTGGGAGTCCTCAACATGTCTTCGGACAATAAAGACCTGAGGCTTCCTTGCCCACGTTTTAACCTGAAATCTCCTGCTGATTATCACGTATAGTCCTTCCTCGGGGGATTTCAATGTCTACTACTAAGAGTGGCTTGGCAGCAGCACTACTGATCAAGTTGTTCAGGTTCTAAAGCACGTAGCTGCTAGACTGGCTCAGCAGCAGGTGGTGAGGGAACCAACAAAAGGGGAAAAACGTACTTCACCACATTCTCGCCAATCTGCCAGTTGCAGATGCATCTGTTAATGTTCGTATCAATTGGAGTGAGCACTGCACAGATCTTGTGGAGACGAAGCCTGTTTTAACATTGAGAATACCCTCCATGTTGTATGGTACTATCCCCACGCTAAATGGGACTGACTTTGAACAAATCTACCAACTCAAGCCTGGCATCCATTAAACACTGTGGGTTACCAACAGCTGCAGAATTGTACTCCAGCACAACCTGCAAACGCATAGCCTCTTATCTTCCAATCAGCCATTACCATCAAGTCAAGTGATCAACCCTGGTTCAATGCAGAGTGCAGAATGCCATGCCAACAGTAGCACCAGGTATACCTAAAAATAAGATATCAACTTGGTGAAGCTACCAAACAGGACTATCTGTATGCCAAATAGCATAAGCAGCAAGTGATAGAGATAAGTGATCCCACAACAAAACAATCAGATCTAAGCACTACAGTCCTGCCACATCCAGTCATGAACGGTGGTGGACAATTCAATAACTTACTGGTAGAGGAGGTTCCACAAATATATCCCCATCCTCCAAACAGCCCAACACATCATGGCACAACATAAATCTAAAGCATTCACAGCAATCTTCAGCTACAAGTCTGAGTGGATGATCCAACTTGGCCTCCTGCATTGATCCCCAGAATCTCTCATACCAGCCTTCAGCCAATTTTGATTCAGTCCATGATATCCAGAAACGATTGGTGGCTCTGGTTACTGCAAAGGCTATGGGGCCTGATAACATAGTCCTGAAGACTTAGTCCTATGCTCCAGAACTTGACACTTCTCTCGCCAAACTCTTCCAATGCAGTTACAATGTCCACCCAACAATGCAGAAAATTGCCTGGTTATGTCCTGTACTCACAAGCAGGACAGATCCAACCATGCCAATTTTATTGCCCCATCAGTCTACTCTCGATCATCAGTAAAGTGAAGGAAGGTGTCACCAACAGTGCTATGAAGCAGTACCTGCTGAGTGACTATTAGTTTGGGTTCCGTTAGGGCCACTCAGTTCCTGACCTCATTACAGCCTTGGTTCATACATAGACAAAAGAGCTTAATTCCAAAGGTGAGGTGAGATTGACAGCCCTTGACATCAAGACTGCATTTGACTGAGTGTGGCATCAAGAAGCTCTAGCAAATGGAATCCACAGGTTTATGGGGCAAATGCTCTGCTGTTTGGAGACCTATCTGGCACGTAGGAAGATGGTTGTAATTGTTGGAAGTCAGTCATCTTGGCTTCAGGACATCGCTGCAGGAGTTCCACAGGATAACGTCCTAGACCCAACCATAGCCAGCTGCTTCATCAATGACCTTTGTTCCATCCTATGGTCAGAAGTCGTATAGATAGTTGAAATTTCCCAAACTAGGTAAAAGACAAGACTAGGTGCCAAACTTTTAAGGTGAGAGGAGAGAGATTTTAAAAAAGACAAGGGCAAATATTTTTAACACAGCGGGTGATTCACATGTGAAATGAATTTCCTGAGGAAATGGTGGATGTGAGTGCGATTGTAATGTTTAAAAGACATTTGGATAAGTACATGAATACGAAAGGTTTGGAAGGGTATGGGCCAGGAGCAGGCAGGTGGAACTAGTTTAGTTGGGGATCATGTTTGGCACAGACTGATTGAACTGAAGGGTCTGTTTCAGTGCTGTATGACTCTGATCGTTACACCATTTATGACTCCAAGTACTGAAGCAGACCATGTTTAAATGCAACATGATCCGGCCACTCGTCGGCCCAAGCCTGAATATTGTCAAGTAACATTTGTGCTGCACAAATGCCAGGCAATGACCATCTCCAATAAAAGACAATCTAACTACTGCCCCTTGACATTCAATGGTGTTACCATCTGAATTCCCCCATTATCAACATCTTGGGGGTTATCATTGACCTGAAACTCAATTGGATTCACCACATGCATGGTGACTACAAGAGCAGGTCAGAGGCTAGGAATACTGTGGTGAGAAACTCCCCTCCTGACTCCCCAAAGCTTGTCCACCATTTACAAGGCACAAGTCAGAAGTGTGATGGAATTCACCCCAGTTGCCTGGATGGGTGCAGCTCCAACAAAAGTCAGGAAACTTGACACCATCCAGGACACAGCCTGCTTGATTGGCATCATGTCCACAAGCATCCACTCCCTCCACCATTGTTGCAATGTGTGCTGTCTACATGACATTTCCATCTAGAAGGACCAGGGAAGTAGCTCCATGGGAACATCAACTGCAAGTTCCTCTCCAAGAGAAATATAAAGGTATCGGAAGTGGGAGTGTAGGGTCTGCTGAAATTTAGGATTAATGCTAGAAATGGAGTGGGTCGCAAAGTCTGCATGCATTGTTGTGAAATTAGTTGTGTTGGCAAGCCTAGTATCTAGGATAAATGCCGAACAGGTAAGGAATTCCTGGTCTTGCAATGCTATGTAAGAATTTCAAGGAACTGGGATCTGCGAGAGGAACCTTGCCAGCATGCAGCAATACCTGGACAACTTTCAAGCTTGGGAAGGTAAGTGGCAAATAACTGGACCAACTATAAAAACAGCGTGGCTGACGAGCTAGTTAGAGGCTGGGAATTGATTCTTTTGAGTCCCCAAAGCCTGTCTACCATCTACAAGGAATTGTGATAGAATACTCCTCACTTGCTGGGATGTTTGGCGCTCCAACTATACTTGAGACACTTGACACCATCTAGGACAAAGGCGCATTGTGACAAAGTGGCGACCATCTACCAAATGTGCTGCAGGAACTTGGCACGGCTCATTTGATAGAGGTTGCAAGTTTTAAAGGTCTATCACCTATGTGGATAAAGTCAGCAGACGCATTTGGAACTGTATCACCATTTCTCCAGTCATAAGACAAATCTTGGAATACCCCACTGGATTTACCTGCAACACCTGAACTTTAGTGGCTCAAAGAAGGCAGCTTCCCACTATCTGAAGGGAAAATAGGGAATGGGCAACAAAGCTGGCCTTGCCAATATATCACACATTCAATGAATTTCTAAAGCAAACAGTATAGGAGAGTCAAAAGATCTAGAGAAAGATCTGCAAACAATAGGGAAGACCTTAGACCTGAGTTCAGTAAGGAATTAGTACTGTGCTGTAAGTTCTGCCTGGCCATTGGTGCCCAGATTCCCCTGAATATTTTTTTAAAAACAGGTCCAGGGACTGGGAGTACTCAAAGGGAGATCTTGGTATCTAGGAATAAAGACTGTGTTGCCTAACTCTTGCTGCTATTTCACACTTCCAACATATCTGATTTGAAAGCTGCATTTATACAGCTTTTGCATTTCTAACTATGAAAGTTTGCTGGGCCTCCATTCTGATGTAGGATCATCATTGTTACAGGTGGAAGATCTACTGACCTCCATTCTAGTTGCGGGGGATGGTGCTTTTAGAATTGATATATATTCTAGCCTCATTTTAAACATTCTTTGTAATTTCTTCCAATGTAGTTTGCTAGTATTTGATATTACTGATGTAAGCCTGTCATTGTGCAATTAAGCCCCTCTTAACCTGGGTTGTTTTGGGAGTGTTAGGAGGAAAGAGTAATTGCAGCAATGTGAGCTTAAATAGGCAGTTGCCATTAGAAGTGTGAACATAATAAATAAAGTTAACAAGAAATGTGTGAAGACATTAAGATCCTTGTAAATGGATATGAGTGTGAAGCAGAACAATGTTTGATTTCATACAATAAAATAGGTTTTGTTTTGCATACAGTTTCATGATGCCCAGTTTGCTATATTCTGAAAATTTAACTTTTTACCCTGTATGTGGAAAGCCAAAAAGAAAATGTCTAAATATAGCTATTAACATCTCAAGCTAGAATTTGCCATGAAAAATGAGTGTACTTGGAAGTTGGACTGTTTGCTAGCACCTCCAAATTGTTATTTAGTATTAATGTAGCAAACTAGTCATTGTACAGAACATGAAGGGATATCGTGCTGCCTATAAATTCCACCACATCAAATCAATTCCTACGCATCCTTCCCAGTAAGAACAAAGTGAGATGCTTTTAAAACAGAGAAACTTGACTTACCACCTCATTTGTGCAGTAATTGCTCTTGCTACCATTTTAATTGTTCATTGTATTTTAGTGCAAAGAACCTGCCAGAATCAAATGGTCCCTCCTCGCAAGCAGATCTGGTTCCTATGATGTAATTAAAACTCCAAATTGCTTTTAACTAGTTAGTCAGAGGATTCATTTCAGTATTTAATACCAATCCTTAATTACCTTTGAAAGTGGTCATTAGCTACCCTTTTTGAAATGCTGTATTCCATGTTTATAGGCATACTATAGTGCTATTAGGAAGTGTGATCTAAGACTTTTGACTCTCTCTGACAGTGAAGAAACAGCGATGTAGTTCCATGTCAGGATGGTGTGTGACTTGAAGGGGCATTTGCAAATGGTAGCGTTTCCCATACAGCAGCTGTTTTTACCTTCTAAATGGTAGAGGTCATGGGATTTGGGAGGTAATACCAAAGGAGTTGTGATTTTGTAAATGGTAATATTGCTGCCATTGTGAGTAGGTGGTGAAAGGAGTACATTTTGAAGGTAGTGGATGGGATCTAATCAAGTGTGCTGCTTTGATTTGGATTGTGTCAAACTTCTTCAGTGTTGCTGGAGCTGCATTCATCAAGGCAAACTGAGTATTTGATCAAGCTCCTGAATTGTGCCATGCAGATGGTGGACAGACTTTGGGGAAGTTAGGAAAATTTCTGGCCTCTGATATGCTCTGCCCTGAATCTCTCGAGTGTTATAGGGCTGAAGGTGGCCATTGGCCCATCATGTCTGCTTCAGCTTGCCAAATAAGCAGTATGATTTTGTGCCTTTTCCTCAATACCTTGCATATCGTTTCTATTCAAATAATCATCTAGTGGTCTCTTGAATGCCTCAAGTGAACCTGCCTCCTCCGTACTTCCAGGCTTCAGTTTCTGGTCCATGGTATCCATCTGGTGTTAATAGGAGGTTCAGCGATGGTTTACTGTTAAATGTCCAGTGGAAATGATTAGATTATCCTCTTCTTTGGAGATTTGAACAATTCTTAGCTGTACGTGGGTATTAAGATTTGAGGATCTATGTTTAGCAGTCTTCTTTACCACTATCACTCCTATTGAAAACCCTTTCACAAAACATGGGAATGTAGGAACCGGTGTAGGCTATTCACCCTCTCAAGCTTCCTGTTTCATTCTAGACTATGGCTAATCATTCATCTCTCTGCCATTTTCCTGCACTGTCCCAATATCCCTTGATTTAATTTGTTGATAGATTTCTTTAAATCTCTATCTTAACAGAGCTTCCAAAAACTACAGTGGTGGACAATTCCAAAGAATCATTTCCCTCTGAGTGAAGAAATTCCTTTTAATCTTTGTCCTCCACTGGCTTATATCTTATTCTAAGACTGTTTTCCCCATCCAGCCAAGGGAAACTTCCTTTCTGTATCTACACTATTTATTTTTGCTCTTTTTAAAATCAAGAGAATACAGGCCCAGCCTCCTCTATCTCTCTGGCATAGGTCAATTCCGCCACTGCAGTGTCATAGAGTCATAGAATTGTAGAGCACGGAAACAGACCCTTCGGTCCAATGCAGTCCATGCTGACCAGATATCCGAAATTAATCCAGTCCCATTTGCTAGCATTTGGCCCATATCCCTTTAAACACTTAATTCCTATTCATATACCCATCTAGATGTCTTTTAAATGTTGAAATTTATTTGTAACGAAGTCAGTAGAATGTGTTCCCTGATTGGACCACGTTAACAGCCACAATCGGGAAGCCCTGGCTGACAGATCAAACAGGAGCGTCAAATCTTTGCTTGCTCTGAGGAAGCTGGACTAGTGTCAAGTACTATGCACGTGTAAATAAACATGACTTGGTGACGGGATCCCGGCCTCTGTAGAATTATTACAGCCACTCCAGGAATTAGTCTGATCCTACGCTGCATTTCTTCAATAGAAAGTATATCCTCCTTTTTGAGTAAGAAGACCAAAACAGCGCACAATTCCCCATTTGCAATTTCACTCAGCTTTTATAGAATTTAAGCAAACCTTACTCACGTACATGAATCCTATTGCAATAAAGGCCAGCATAACATTTGCATTCCTACTTGTTTCCTGCACCTGCTTAAAAAGGACCATAAGAACGAAAGTGCCAAATGTAATAAAGGCAATTTGTGTAATGATGAACATAACAAACGTATATTGAATTTAGCTCTTAGAGAAATGTCAAATAATACTGCAACAAGGAAGCTCAATGAGGTACTTTTCTATAGACTTTACTAAAGTTATGGAAGGCAGTTGTTACTTGGGTTGAGACCCGATAGATGTTGTGCCTGGTGAAATTCTGGTGGTGAGTTTAACCTGAGGATCGCCACGTCACAGGACAGGGGTGAGATTGAGAAGATGAGACTTTCGTGGTAACTCAGCCAGCGCAGGAATTGAACCTGTGCCATTAGTGTCACACTGTTCACTAACCAGCCATCCAGCTAACTGAGCTAACTGACTCTGACAGGTGCTGGTACCTGTGACAGACTGGCTGGAGATTACTTCACGTAAGCTGCTATTTTTTAAAAATTTACTTCATGCGATATGGGTGTCACCAGCCAGGTCAGCACTTATTAGCCATCCCTAACTGCTGAGAGGGCAATTAAGTGTCAACCACATTGCTGTGGATCTGGAGTCACGTGTTGAGCAAACCAGGTAAGGTTGGCAGTTTCCTTCCCTAAAGGGCATGAGTGAACCAGATGGAGCAATCCAGCTGAGCTGACTTTCTGGCAACATAGAGTCATAGAGATGTACAGCATGGAAACAAACCCTTTGGTCCAACTTGTCATGCTGACTAGATATCCTAATTTAATCTAGTTCCATTTGGCCCATATCCCTCTAAATTCTTCCTATTCGTGAACCGATCCAGATGGCCTTTAAATATTGTGATTGTGATTGTACCAGCCTCCACTGCCTCCTCTGGCTGCTCATTCCATACATGCACCACCTTCTGTGTGGAAAAAGTTGCTCTTTAGGTCCCTTTTAAATCTTTCCCCTCTCTCCTTAAACCTATGCCCTCTAGTTTTGGACACCCCTTCCTTGGGGGAAAAAGAATCTTGTCTATTCACCCTATTCCTGCCCCTCCTGATTTTATAAACCCTCTGTAAGGTCAGCCCTCCGCCTCCAGCACTCCAGGGAAAATATAGCCCCAGCCTATTCAGCCTCTCCCTATAGTTCAAACCCTCAATCGCATGTGGTATTCCAAAAGTGGCCTAACCAATATCCTGTACAGTCACAATATGACCTCCTGACACCTATACTCTATGCACTGAGCAACAAAGGCATGCAGACCAAACACCCCCGCCTTCACTATCCTGACTACCTGTGACTCCATTTCCAAGGAACTATGA